GAGCAATTGTACTGTGCATCACTTGCTTTGTGTATTATTATTATTATCATCATATTATTATTATCATTTTATTTCAATTATTAAACTGTTTTTATCTCAACCCACAAGTTTTTCTCACTTGTGCTCTTCTAATTCTCTCCCCCATCCCACTGAGTGGGGGGAAGTGAGCGAGCGGCTGCGTGGTGCTCAGTTGCCAACTGAAGTTAAACCACGAAAACTTATTACCCTTTCAGATACAGTAGAGTAACTTTTGTCTACATGATTGAAACCCATCAGTTCCCACTATCATATTTATTGCCTACAGTGCTTACATGAACATGTAGAGTAAGCACCTATGTGAAACTGAAATAAGCGGTCTGATTCCCAAGAATCATATCCATTGGGGACTTTTTTGTAAATCTGACCAACTACTTCGGTTCCCAATAGCTTTATAGTCATTGGCTCCTAATAGTCAGGTATTGATTCTAACAACAATATTACAGTCAATGTCACAATCAAATATAAAGAAAACACAATTAGGGAAAACAAGTAATATATGTATCAGCAGAAGCTTGACTAAAAGTATAATATACAACATGACCATATCTGGATGGACCTGACAACTGCAGATGTTACATTTCAGGTCAAAGGTGAATTTACTGTGCACATATCTAACATATTAATTGGAAGGTTTTACTGATAGTATGTGATGGTAAACTGATAAGGAAATAATAATTTGCCAAAATTTTCTGCCCTTCCAATAAATGATAACAAACCTTTTTTTTCTGAGGGTAATGCATATATGGGGGTAACATGGCACTTTTTTCCTTTGTTTTTTTTTTTTTTTTGACCATGTATACTTGCCCTATTTCTCTACTCTCACACTATTTTTTCCTTTGGTAGCATTGTTTGCTTACTTCTTTTCACTCTATACTGCCCATCATTCCCATCTCATCCCCTTCCTTCTTTCTCTTTTGCTTTTCACCTTATTTCCTCCTTTTCTCAGTGAAAAGAAGAAAGCAAGAAACTTCCCTTCCTCCCTCTTTCCACTCTTTTCAACTTCTATCTTAATTCTGTTTCCATTTTCCTGTTCAGTTCTGTGATTCCCTTTTCTTTCCTTATAATTTTCACTTTGATTCTTCATTTGCATCCTCCTCCATTCTTATTCCTCACTCTGAAGAGTAATAACCTCCTGTCTAAGCCAACTGTAAAACAAAGGCAGAAACTCTGTTCAACCAATGCATGTGAATGATGAGAAAACTCTGTATTTTCCCCTCTCTCATTTCTGCAGTAGAAACTGCTGTGATTGGAAAGACGATTTAGGACAGAGTAGCCAAACCCTTTAAACTGAGACTGGGTTTGGTTTAGAGACACACTGTCATTTGTCCATGGAATACTTCAGAAAGTATTTTAGCACCTTTATCAATATCTGTATTGCAGAAAATACTAAAATCAAATAAACTAAAACCTGGGTTTGCTGCTTTTTTTTTCCCAGGTAGTGCTGTTGCTGATGGATTGCATGACGTAAGGGCAAGAGTGGCTTCTGCTTCTTCTTCTTCTTGCTTTTGAATTCCTTTTTTTTCTTCTACCTTTTTTGTAAAGTATTCACTGAGGGAAAAGGCATAAAGATTAGTGGCTCAAAATACTGTTAGACACGTGACAAGTAGACACAGGATACAGGCTGAAGAACATGCTAAGAGATGGATTAAGGACATCTATTTGAGCTTCTGCCATAGATTCATTGTGTGAAGCTGGAGAAGTCAATAAATTACATTATTTTTTGGTAGTCATCTGCAGTGTTGATTAAACAAAAAGAACCACAAGCAAGTATTATAAACCTTAACACACGCTTTTCAAATCACACTGGTTTGAAAGTCAGCTCTGTGCAAACAATCTTAGCATGAAGGATGTATTTGCTTTGCATGGGTAGTAACAGATCCTGTCATAACTTCATGACATACAACCACTTGGCCTAGGTTGCTAATCCAAGGTTAGTTGCACACTGGTTATCTAAGTGGCTGCAAGCTCAGAAGTGGCTGAATTTCAATTACATGCATGAAGTGGAAACTGCATACATGGGTCACAGTCACCCAATTCAGGCAAACTGAGTATGTAAGATAGATAAAGTCATGTAAATCAAGCATTAAAATCTTATTTAGATTCACTTCAGTTGGAAGAATTTCTTTCCAGCTGAGTCCTTATTCCCCTCATCAAGGTTTCCCCAAAGCTAATCCACGTGGAAGGCAATTAGGTCTGTTCGCTACACTCTGTGTTAGGTGTGGCAGCCCAACGCTATGCCTACAGCAAATTGTCATTCCCTCAGTGATGTAGCTGAAAGAAACACTTCCAACTACAGAAGAGGATGACAGGCCATATTACTGCTTCCAGGGTGAAGAAAGCTATAATGTTGCCACGTAGCTCCTCTAATGTTACTGTAAAAATACATTCAGATACATGTGATGCTTTTACCTTACTTTTTTTTTCTTAGAAAAACCAGACATATTTCTTTGAATGGAGAAATATGGCCATTCTTTTTTCCTTTGGGATGCTCCCAAGAAGAAATATTTGTATGAAAAAATAAACATGGATGTTTACTAAAGAAACTATGTTTCCAAAGAAACTAATTGCGCTAAGTAAGAAGCCTTTTTGAGTAGCTTGCTCAGAAAGAAGACACCACCAGAACCTGAAAACTGAATGTGTATATATGTTTTCTGTGGTTTAGCTCAATGCAGAAGACACACTCACAGGCCTTTCGTACTACTTTTGTTCTGCAGTGCAATGAACAGAAGTGGAGTTGCAGTCTGAAAAAACATCCCCACTGAATTAAACTGGCACTGAAGGAGTTTCTTAAATGGAGCCTTTGACTCATGAACGTGTTCAGGCATTTTTTTCATAGAGACCCTTATTTTTGTATCCCACGTATGAAACCTTGTAAAAAACAGCATGATTTTCATATCATAATTATGAAAAAAGCAGGAAATAATATAGTGCAATGTATCTGAGATAGACATCACATCCTAAAAAGATAAAAAAAAACTAGAAAACATTGAATATTCTGTATGTTTTTTCATTTACAATACGAATTAACAGTGTATATTTCAAATGTAATAATTTGCATAATATGAAAGACCTACCCAAGCATCTTATCAACTGTACACTGGTCAGTAGGCTTCAAGTCTCTTAACATCATGTTCAGTGATTCATTCACCCATTCCACAGCAGTGTTAACAGAGTCACTTCTTTCTTTCTCATCAGCTTCAGTTTTTTCAGGTAAAGCATTTTCAGGTATTTGAGAATGAGAAGACATTACAGTGGAACAAATCCTCTGAAAAAAAATGTAAAAAGGCTTAAAACACTATTTAATTTCTAACTTGGAAATGTCATTTGAGAGACTAAGAAGTGTATGTCCTTACCAACTCTGCAAGTACCTATCTCCAAATCTACTGTTTGCTTCACTTATCTTTTTTCATCCAGCACCTTCTTCCTAGTCTCTTATACTTTGGTAATCACAAATGTTATTCAAGTTTCTTGATCTAATTACAACTACTTAGGCAAAAACCTCCTGACAGATCTGCTTTATACATATATTTTGTTATCAGAATAGAATGGAGTTATTTTAAAGACCATACGGTCATTATGACATCTTTTATTGCAGCTGTTGGTAGCCTGTTGTACCATGATTCATCAGCATTCATGCTTAATGCCATCAGTTACATTTTCTCTTACTTAGATAATTTAAACATATCTTTCTGTACTGCTGAAGGATAAACGATTCTTAAGAAAATTCACTTAATGAAGACATAATTTACAAATATCACAGTTGCCTGCATTAACAGTATTAACTTTACATGCTGTGAATATCTATGAAATTATATTTAATTCAAGAATGAAGTGAACCATAGTTTAACTGAGGGAAAGTATAAATAATTACTCAACAATAGCTAGAGTTGCAAAGACAGTATCTTGAATATTTCAGGTTTGAGGAGAGATGGCAATGCACCATCAATTTTGCATTGCAGGTGCTAGATGGATACGTTTGACTTAACTATCATACACATCAGCTTATTAGCTCAGTGTAAAAAAGCGCTTTCACCTATACTGTGTTTTTCACCCGTACTATATTTTTCTGAAACACTGTCATACAAATAGAAATATAAGGATCTGAAAATAAAAAAAAGAAGAATGTAAAAGGAAAATGAATTTACAGGGCTAGATATGGAGTGTAAGGAAAAACTACATGATCATGAAGACAGGCAAAAATTTAATATACAAAGATGCACTGTCACATCCCACTCGTAAAATAAAGACAAGTATTGTCTAATTCATGGAAAATAAAGTTTTTATAGTTGCTGCCACCATCTGACTTTTCATGATAGCTTTTTTTCTAAGTTACAACACTATTTACTCGACTGTTGAGTCACAGGAATTCATATCCTTTCATTAAAGATGGAAAACAAAATGTTCCTTACAATGTGAGTAGAATAGTACCTCTCCCTGATATTGTCTTACTAAAAGAAATAAAACAGGAAGAAGCAGCTCATACCTTCTCATAGTTTTTAACTGTACAGTATATTTCCACTTCTAATGTTGGCTGACCAACTCCATCAAGAACTTTTCTTCCAACTAATTTGCATATCACTGGAGCTTTTGAAAATTTAGAAAAGTAGTTAGCCTTAAATGAAAGAGAAAGAACTTCATTAAAAGTCAATTTCTATGCAAAGATGTTTTTATTCCATTAAATATACTTAAAGCAAATTCATCATTGAGCAAATCCATTTATACATCCCAGTATTCAAAATACTTCTGTTACACTGCACATTTACTTCTGTATTATCTGCTTAAGAATGAGATTCCAGGGAACAGATCCAACTTATATCTAAGCATGGAAGTCCAAAGCCACATCCAGGTTAGATGAACATGTGTTTTATTTGGCGAAGTTAGTGATGAGTATCAAAATCTCCTTAATCCTCCTAGAAAACAGGCATTTGTCCAAAGCTTACTTGGCTTACACTGAATAACAAAAATAGTCATCGTGCTACTCATGAAACTCATTTCTATTAGAATTCACATAGCCTCCACCTCCCCTGTGCAGTGAGCTGCTATAAAATGATGATTTTGTCTATGGATAAGATTGTGAAAAAATACGTCTCCTCTCTCACAAGGAGAGAAGAAAAATCTTGGACAGGAAAAACTCTTAGAAATGCATACAGAACTCTACTAGATCCTAATGTCATATTAAAATTCCCATAGCATGCTTTCATTAACAAGTAGTTATTAAGCTTTGAAATAATACTGTAATTTTTTTTTCTCTAAAAAAAATACTAGCAACAATCTTTAACCAAAATCCTCCTGCTCAGAAAAAGTTCTCATGTGAAATGCTATGCATAAAATTTTGTATGTGCTGCAGACAAGGAAAAACAAGAAGTATTTTCAGAATATACTTCTTGCTTATAGAAAGTACTTAATGTCCTAGATACCTAATAATGTTTCAAGGTTGCTTCATCAAAGACATATGTACAGTGGCTCATGTGTCTCAACACTCAACTGATGCAGTATTAAAGATCTTCATAGAGGAAGACCTAATCTGGAAGGAAGAGAAGCTTGTCATCAAGCTCCTCAATAACAATGAAAACCGCTCTAACTTGGTGTAAGGTTATTTAACACAATAACCAATCTCTCCTAATCAGAAGTGGTTTTTTGGTTGGACGCAACGTGAGCTCACAAGGCTGGCACAATTTTAAGGAGTTGCGGGTATGCCGCGTCTAGTAACAGGACACAAGACAACTGATGTAGCTAGGGGTCACCGCTCCACGGAAATCTGGGATTTTAGGTTAACAAGCTTTGAGCCCTATAAGGTTGAAAACCTAGACTTCTGGCAGGCAGAGTTCTCTTATTTCTTCCAGTATGATCTTTAATGGGACTGCTGAACTGTCATCATCCAACTATGCAAATACATTCGGGGCCCTGTCCGTATTTAATGAACGATGTTACTTTACAAAAAGGATTAAGTTGCTACGTGAGGTTTACTACATACTTCCTTACTAGTTTCATTCTTTAGTCTGTATTGGAAACAGCCACCAAACCGTGACTTACCAAATGGGAAAACTAGGAAACACTTATAGCTACATAGAAGAGGAACACGCCAAACACTAAGCAAAGAAAGGTGCTACCAGTTCTAGTCCCTTGCGCTGGTGATGTGAAAACACTTGGAGATGGGAAACAGCATGAGATATAATGAAATGTTCCGTTTCCACAGCCACTTTCACATCAGAGAACATACTAGAAATTATTTTTTTCAAGAGTTGCTCACTATTGTAGCATTGCAAATTCCAGTGTCACCACTAATAAAGGTTTCATTAGGACTACCGTCTACAATATTTTGCCAACTGGGAACAGATAAAATTGGTCTGATTCCTCACACTTTCACTGAGGCCTATTTGCTTTTCAAGAAGAGCTGCAGTGTGAATAGCACCAAGTGTCTTGTTGCCATTGGCCCGAGATATCACCATGCTGAGCAGCGGTTTTATTAGGGACGTCCACCTGTGCCTCCCAAGGCAACATACTTTGTTTTTGTGTTGAGATGAGCAACCAGCACAGGACAAAAAGGCCTGCTGCTGCAGAAATGTACCTGGCCCAGCGTCAAAGTGCCACTGGTCACAATCACAAAACCATTGCAGACCTTGCCCGAGTCATAAGGAAATTATTTAAGCTTAATTTTAATCACAGAGACGTCGGGCTCCTCGCATCAACCTGTTGGTTTATCAAACCCTTGGGGCGGGCAAGCAGCACTGGGGCAGACAGCACTCCCCTTGCCTGCGGGCAAGCACGGAGCCCGGCGCCCACGCCGGGTACTTGGGAGTGGGCTACGGGAAGGCCCGGTACGGCGGGCACCCACGGGTGCCTCGGGGAGCGCCACGCGGCCGCTGGCGGCCTTCCCCTCCACGCCGTTCCTTGTCCCTGAAGCAGGGCCGGGAAGGCCCCCTGCTTGCCGAGG